CTTATTTGATAAAAACCAACAACATTTTTAATAAAAACACAAAAATTATATTTTCCAGTCCAAGATTAAGAAATTTTTTAATTTTTAGTCCAAAAATAGTCCGCCAATTAATTTTTTTTTTGAACAGTTTTTGTTATGGGGCGGGTTTGAAACCCGTCCAGGGAAGGGGGACGTGCACTTTTCAGTGACTCTAGTCATTGGGTCACAAGGGCCAAGTGCGTCCGCCAATTAATTAAGCAATTTACAATCATAGTGTATTATTCATTTTTGTGTATATTTATTTATTTAAATAAAAATTTTATAATTATAATGTCATATAGTATTATAATTTTATAACATAATAAATATCATATAGTTAATTTTTTTCATCCAATAATTTACTTATAATATTATATATATATATATCTATTACCATATCACAATTATAATCTTATATAATATTATAACTATAATATTATTATTATTTAAAAATATATTTTACTTATAAATTTACAAATTTATATAATATTATAAATATATCATTTTTAAATTATTAAATTAGCGTATATGTTTAATAAGTCTTCTCTTCATATTATTACTAATGATATAATCGAAACTGAAACATTATAAAATCGAAATTATTTCACCAATGATAAATTAGTAAAACTTGAATCAAAATTCTACATTCATATGATTACATGAGACTGTAACATTTGTACTTTTGTAGAAGATGAGGGGGTGGAATGAGATCAAAAAAAATTTTGTGGATTCTATCAACACAAATTTAAAACATTAGTGATGACTAGGAAAATTAACTCTGGGTAAAATTCATACGGGCCAGTCTAGTCCTGGAAATAAGTCAAATAACGACTGCATCACTTCCGGCGATGGCGGGGAAGGAGCCAGAGTCACGGCAAGACGAGCTGGCGGAGTCGCTCAACGATCTCTTCTCCAGCGTCTCCACCACGGTTAAATCGGAACTCCAGGTTTTCCACAGAATTCATTTTTCCTCTTTCTTTTGTTCTTCTTAAATCTCTCCTTTTTCCCCCAAACCGGTTTCTAGGGTTCAGGTCGAGTGTAGCACCTTTTAACTTTATTTATAACAAATTAGTGACGATTTCAACTGTTAAATGATGTATTATGCACTAAAATTCCTAATGTTGCTTCGTGTTGCTTCAAGTTTTATTCTTTTGAGAGAATTGGGTCCATTTTTGCAAGAAAGAAAACAATCTGCACATTTCATGATTTGAATTCTGTATTTTTTCTCGTTGGCCAAAAAATAATTCTGGGTTTTCTCAATTTCCCAATATTTAGTTTGCAACATTGAAGAAACACCTGAAGGACATATCTAGGGATTTGATGTACTGAAATATCTGAAGATTATATTATCTAGTTATGAACCTGTTCTGCAAAAGCATCATGCTTCATGTGGATAACGGAACTTATATTTGTTTATGATATATCTCAGGGGACAAATAATCTGTTGGAGCTTTTGGAAAAGATGAACCTTAGGGTGGCTGAAGAATACAATGGCTTTGGCGATGTGGCATCTGGGTTAAGGGTTTATGTGGAGCAGCTGAAGAGCAAGGGTGGTAGTTTTGATGAGTATGTTCAGCAGATTGATGCCATAGAGCAGCAGGTTACTGAGTTTGAAGCTGTAGTTTCAGTGCTTGATAGATATGTCTCTCTGCTGGAATCAAAAGTACAATCAGCTTATCAAAATCCACCTTCATGAAAAATGCTTTGATATCTTCATGGGAAATGAAATCAACTGGACTAATGCTCATTGATCGAAGCCAATTTGTTGATAGTCTTTGTGCCGTTTGTCAAATTTTCAGATTTAGTTTCTAGGGTCTGTAGTGAATGATATTGGCATCTCTTCTTTTTTATAATAACAGATTATGATATTAGAGTATTTGATGTATGAACTATCATTCTTGTTATTGCCAAAGTTCACTCACATTTGGGTGTCTTGGTATGGTTTCTTCCTTGAAATCTCATGCCCCTGCTTCTCCTCTTTTTCAATATAACCTAAAATGTTTGCTTCTCGGTCATACAGGAATAAGTGAATGACACAAGGTGCAGCTTATGCAGATTCAGATATGTTCAACAGGACAGTCAATTGAACAGGGATGTAACTTGAAACCATAAAACCATAATCGTCTCAAATAAAACCATTCTAGTCTCAAATAGGATGTCAGACAAGTTTTCCTATTAAGCATAACCAGATGATGAGGAAAATATGGAAAGTAGAAATATTAGCATTGCCAAGTATCCATATAGCTAAACACACAACACCTATCACCTTCATGTACACCAATCAAGTGACCTGCACAAAAGAAATGAAATCAAAATCCATGAAAATAACAACATTAACACTGTCTACTAATTACCAAGAAAATCAAATACTGACAACTTCAATGG